ATGCTTACCGCAAAAAAACAAACCAGAGGTAAAAAAAAAAAACGGTAACCTGGGTGCCGAGTTCGCGAACTGAATTGGCTTGTTTTACAACGTCGTTGCCAAGCGACGAAAACCCAATCCCGATGGCAAACACCGAGGGGGGGGCTCCAATGATGAGAGAAAAAAAAAAAATCTCCGGGGCCTGCCCCCCACCCGTCCCTGGGGTAGGCCGAGGTTCCGCAAGTGGATCTAGACCTCGAAAGACCACTCAGCAAAGACGGATATACGGTCCCTACCACTGTTGAAAGGGGGATGCCGAGGTTGGCGGTTTGGAGTTGCTGCTGTCGTGAGATCGGGGTAGCTCGTGAAATGCCAGCTTTGGTAGCTGCAAATGAGACTGAATCCTAACACCCCGGCTTGGACACCGGGGCTATGCAGCGGCAGAGAGCACGATGAGGGTGGCGGAGTGACCGCACGCCGTGGGGGTATGCCCCAGAGAGAGGAAAGGAGAGAGTCCAGAGATGCAGGGCCACACCGCTCCGGGACAAGAAGACAACTCTATGGAAAAAAGGCCAGAACCGGGGTAACTATCACGTTCCCAAGTGTTCGCAAGAAAATAGCAAAAAAACAAAAAAAGAGGGGAAGATGGAGGAAAAGGAGGGGTCGGGCGGCACGTAGGCTAGCTAAGAGAGCAGCGCGCGCCGCGCGAAAGAGACAGCAGGGTCAACTTCGTAGGGTTGCAACCTGGAATGTGCGGACTTTGGCTGTAAACGGGGCCAGTGGATGCGGGCGAGCCTACAGCGTTCTACACGAGGCAGCGAGACAAGACGTATCGGTGGTAGGAAACCGCGTATGCTCCAACCGAACCTTCAACCGCCGACAGCAAGCGCGTGTTATGGGGAAAAGTTGACAGTCTTGTGCGGAGGATCCCTTCCAAAGAATGTGTGTATGTCCTANAGCCACCGTGGAGCGTTCAACTTCGTAGCCGCGTATGCTCCAACCGAACCTTCAACCGCCGACAGCAAGCGCGTGTT